AAATAACATAGCATAATTAATTCATCAGTATACCAAAACAGTACGACTATGACTGAGTAGAATTTATTTTAGGAATGCAAAGATGGTTCAATATCTGGAAATCTATCAACATGATTTATTACACCACCAAATTAAGGGAAGGAAAAGAAAATGATCATACCAGTGAATGCTATGGACATTGTAGAAAGGCATGACTAACTAAAGGAGAGCAGCATTTGTTCATTCACCCATTCCTCCACAAGATATATTTTTAAGGGTTTCTTGGCTAGGCATTGTGTTTGTATAGGGAGACTACCCAGGAGCTTTCAGTTTATTGGGGCATGTAGGCAGGTGACTAAATAGCTTTCATGTGGAATGTTACAAGAAAAGTACTAGAAGAGCCCGGAAAAGAAATTAAGCTATTCTTCTTGGAGAGAGTTAAGCAAATGTTCACAGAATCAGGCATTTCAGCTGGGGCAATATATTAATAAAAATACAGGGGTTGGTAGAAAATGCAGGAAGAGAAATGACATTGTTAATGATGAGTACAGCATGAGCAAGGATTCAGAATGATGAAAGTTTATTATAAATCCTGGGACTGGTGTCATGGGTCACTGTTGACAAGCAGAAGAATGGCAAGAAAAGATGCTTGAAAAGGTCATCTGAAAACAGATAATTGGGCAGAAGATGGCCTTTGCAGAAGGTAGAGATGGAGGTGCCTTCTTGGAGAAGGCAGTGTCAGTGTAATTTATTATGCTAGACATAACTGAAATGACGATGGAATCAGTGATTTGCACATTTATGCTTAAGTTTTCATTTTTCTACTGTTCTAGTGGTTGCCTGTTCCTATGTATCTATGGCATATCTGAAAAGGCCAAGGTGTCACAATCAGTAACTTGGAATTGCTCTGTGCATATGCATCTTTCCTTTAGAAATGATTGCATCCCGTATCAACCCATTTTTTAAAGTTTCTAATTTTGAATAACTTTACATTTACAGAAAAGTTACAAGGACAGGATTAACCCATTTTGAAATTGTACAATTAAGATTTCTACTACAAATGTGCACAGTGTGTTGAAACTTTCAAACCTTAATTTGACCCCACTCAGTCTACACTTATATTCGCTTTAGTCATGGTGAAAGCAAAACAATCACTATTATCCCCATTTAGTAGCAGACCAAGCCTCAATTAAAAGCAAAAATCCAAACACCTGAATTCCATTTTCTAGGATTTTGTTGAGAATTTTTGCATCTATATTCATACAGGGTATTGGTCTGTAGTTTTCTTTTTTTGTTTCATTGTTTCCTGGTTTTGGTATCAGGATGACATTGGCTTCATAAAATGTGTTGGGGAGGATTCCTTCCTTCTTGATGTTGTGGAATAATTTCTGCAGGATAGGCACTAGGTCTTCTTTGCAGGTCTGGTAAAATCCGACTTTTTTTTCAGGAAGGTTTTTTATTGCTGCTTCAATTTTGGTACTTGATATTGGTCTGTTCAGGAGTTCTATTTCTTCCTGATTGAGTCTAGGGAGGCTCTGTGTTTCTAAGAATTTGTCCATTTATTCCACGTTTTCAAGTTTATGTGCATAGAGGTTTTTATAGTATTCATAGATGATATTTTGTAATTCCATGGTATCGGTTGTAATTTCTCCTTTTTCATTCTTGATTGAGCTTATTAAAGTCCTTTCTTTTCTGCTTCTCATTACTCTAGCAAGAGGCATGTCAATTTTGTTTATTTTTTCAAAGAACCAACTTGTTTTATTAATCTTCTGTATAGTTTTTTTTGTTATCAATTTCATTTAGTTCTGCTCTGATCTTTGTTATTTCTGTTCTTCTTCTGGGTTTGAGGTTGGTTTGCTCATCCTTTTCCAGTTCTTTGAGATGATTCATTATATCGTTGATTTGTGATCTTTCTGTCCCTTGGATGTAGGCATTTATGGTTATAAATTTTCCTCTCAGGGCTGCTTTAGCTGTGTCCCACAGATTTTGGTAACTTGTGTCTCCTTTATCATTTAGTTCAAAGAATCTTTTTATTTCCATCTTAATTTCCTCCTTAACCCAATAATTGTTCAGTAGAAAGTTGTTTAGTTTCCATGACTTTGTGTAGAGATGAGAGTTTCTGTTGGATTCGGTTTCTAATTTTATTTCACTGTGGTCTGAGAAGATAAAAAAATGCTCAACATCTCTAATAATCGGGGAAATGAAAATCAAAACCACAATGAGATATCACTTAACTCCAGTGAGAATGGCTTTTATCTAAAAGTCCCAAAACAATAAATGTTGGAGTGGATGTGGAGAGATAGGAACACTCATACACTGCTGGTGGGACTGCAAACTAGTACAACCTCTGTGGAAAGTAATATAGAGATACCTCAAAGAGCTAAAAGTAGAACTACCATTTGATCCAGCAATCCCATTACTGGACATCTACCCAAAGGAAAAAAAGACATTGTATAAAAAAGATATCTACACTAGAATGTTTATAACAGCACAATTCACAACTGCGAAGATGTGGAAACAACCCAAGTGCCCATCAATCCATGAGTGGATTAATAAAATGTGGTATATGTATACCATGGAGTTCTACTCAGCCACAAAAAACAACGGTGATATAGCACCTCTTGTATTATCCTGGATAGAGCTGGAGCCCATTCTACTAAGAGAAGTATCACAAGAATGAAAAAACAAGCACCACACGTACTCCCCATCAAATTGGTATTAACTGATCAACACTTAAGTGCATAGTAGTAACATTCATTGGGTGTCGGGCAGGTGGGATGGGGGAGAGAGGAGGTGGGTATATACACACCTAAGGATGCGGTGCGCAACGTCTGGGGGATGGACACGCTTGAAGCTCTGACTCGGGTGGGACAAAGACAAAACATGCAATCTAAACATTTGTCTTTTGTACCCCCTTAATATGCTGAAATTAAAAAAAAAATAAAAAGCCAAAATTGGTGTTTTTCAACCCTGAAAGATGGGCTTGATTTTGGTATTTAGGAAAAAATATTCTTAAATGATTCCAAATTTGCAGCCAGTTTTAAAAACCATGAGTAAAAGAGACATTCATTGGTTGTTTTTCTATATTGGTTTTGTGCTAGGTGTTGATGGTGGTTTAGAGATGTGTAAAATATGGTCCCTCCTCTTTTAAGGAACTCACAGCTTAGTAAGTGTGTATGTGTGTGTGTGCATATGTGTGTAAGTAAAAGGTAAAAGGTGCATACGCATATGTAAAAGCTGCAGGGGAAAACAAAGGCAAGAAGGTCCCTGTAACCCCAGTGAAAAGCAGATACCATATCACTGGCTTCAGAAACATGTGTCCTGATTCCCAGTTTAGAGTCTTTATCATTGATTCGTATTATCCTCTTCTGTTGAGAAAAGTACACCTCCAACTGTTTTCCTCCATGCAAGATAATCATATAATTCCCAATGACTTTCTCTGAGAATAGAGATATTTCTTTCTTCTCACTTTACACAGCACTTTATGGTATATAAAGCACTTTAATATTGTCTTATTGGTTGTCATAAAACTCTAGGACTTAAGGATGACTAGGTTTTTTGATCTTAATTTTAAAGTGGAAATATCTGAGCACTAGAGGAGGTGCCATTCAGGGTCATGCCACACATTCCCAGCATGGACTGATGTTAATACCTGTGCAACACTGTTTCCCAACTCTCTCCCTCCACCTTGCCTCTCTATTGCTATGCCATGTGCTGAGGCCTTTATTTTTTCCTACATTTCCGGTACTCTTTGTCTTTATAGACATCTGGAGGTAATCATGTAGCCCTCTTAATTAATTCAGTTCAATTAATAAATTACTAGGTGGATTTGGGGCTGGGAGCAAGTGCAGGGTGCCTTCCGGGCCTCCCCGTGCTGGAGAGCTCTTGCAATCAGGCTTGGAGAGCCCTCCTCAGCGGCAGTCTGTGAGGCTCATCCCCAGCAGGCTGGCTGCCTGGAGGGGTGATTGGCTTGCCCCAGCAGAGGAGACAGCATTTTTCTTTCTTCAAATAGTGTATGCAATTTGATCAGAACAGCATCTGGGCTGTGCCAGTTGTCCCCCTCCTAGTTAAAGTAAGTTTTTCGTAAAGGTCCAAGATGGTGTCAGCTCAGCATAGCTCCTGATGGGCATTTCTTTGTTGTGCAGGGATGACCTGTGCATTGCAGGTGTTCAATATTCTATCCTCTGGCCCTAAATGCCAGTAATTGTCCCAAGCATTGTGGCAACCAATATCCCCCTCTTCCCCATTTCCAAGTGCCCCTCATTGGGGAGCAGAGCTGCTCCTCCAGATCGGTCATTTTAAAGTGTCCTGCCATGTACCTATTATGCACGTTTCCAAAATAAATCTTTGGTAGTTCCTTAATGCCTGCAGACTAAATTTAAATTCTTCGAGTGTGCATGCTGAGCTATCTGGGCTTTGGTTCCATTCCACATTTTAGTTCTTTTGCTAGATACTTTCGCTTATTCCCCCTCCAGCCACACTAAACATAAGTGCTGTGCACTTTTCTGCCTACATGACTTTGCTGACCTTATTCAGGCCCAACCTCTATTTAGAACTCAGGGCTCAGTCTGTGTGTCACCTCATCAATGAAGTCTTATTAGTTCTGTTCCCACCAAGAAATAAACTCTTTTTCTGCATCCCAGCAACATTTTTGTTTTTTGAACCTCATTTAGGTATAATCATTTAACTGGTTTTAATAGAATATTAATAAAATTGAAGCTTTTATGTAGCCTTCTACCATAGAAACTTCTTGAATTTAGGAACCATTGCTTATTCATATCTATTTCTCTAAGAGTCCTCTTCCTCCACCTGCTCCTCCTCCTCCCTCTTTCCTCCTGATGAATCTTCTTTCTCTTCTTTTTTCCTTCTTCCATTTTCTTTCATCCTTCTGGTCTTCCTTCATCCTTCTTCTTTCCAGAGAGCTTTATCAAGATTTATTAAAAATTGCCTTCATTTTTAAAAAAAATTTTTTTTATATTTGTACTTCTACAAAAATATTGTTTGTTTCTTTTGAATTGCAGATTCCAACAATGTCTCACCCATCTTGGCTGCCACCCAAAAGCACTGGCGAGCCCCTCGGCCATGTGCCTGCACGGATGGAGACAACTCATTCCTTTGGGACCCCCAGCATTTCAGTGTCTACACAACAGCCACCCAAGAAGTTTGCACCAGTAGTTGCTCCAAAACCCAAATACAACCCATACAAGCAACCTGGAGGTGAGGGTAAGTGCTGGGATTTCAGAGTTTGGTGCCCAGAGTGGGAAAGTTGAATGTAATAGAGGTGGTTTATAGTATAGAGTTGTGCTGGTAAAAGGTAGCTCACAGATTCACAGTGTGATTATCATAGTGTTTGGACTGTCAAAGGTTAAGGAGCCCCCAGAAATCATCTAGGCCACCCTTTCATTTAGGAACAAAGAGATTAAGACCTCATATGGGACATTTGGCTGTGGTTACACAGTGAAGTAGGGTTAGACCCCAAACTAAAAATCTGGCTCTTCAGTCTTAGCTCAGAGCCCTCGTACTGCATTTTCCTCTACCTCCAGCCCATTCTCTTGTGAAGATGTGTCTCCCACCCAGTGGTTCCTTCCTTTTGCCGATTAACCAGTGTCCCAAAATGCTGCTAAGCAACAGTCCAATCAGAAACCCATTCAAAGTGAACAGTATAAAGTACCTGGATTTTTTTTTTTTTTTTTTTACCTTCTCTGGCCATTTTCCTTCCCTTAGGCTGCTGTAGGATAAAGTTGTCTGGAAGGCTCTGGAGATCTGCATTTGTTGAAGCTTACAGAAAAATCTGAGCAAAGCCTAGTTTCAGAGGTTTTAATAACAATATATTCCGTTTATATCAAATGAAGTTTGAAGTTCTACGTGAGCTCAGCATCTCACGTGCATGTGCGTGTAGGCACTCACACATTACACCTCACAGGCGGTATAAATGATGCCATACTCTTTGGTTGAAGAGTTTATATACTTTTACTACAGTCAGCAGCTCATTCAAACCCATGAAAGAATAACTTATAACTAACAAACAGAATGTTAGACTTCTGGGAGCTGAGAGAGAAGAGGCAGTGAAAGGAGATCCAGCTCTTCTTTCTCTGTTTTCTCCTCCTGTCCCACCTTTAAAAAATTACTGTACCTTCTCCAGGATGTTTCCAGTTGCTTCTTAAATGACATTAGTATGTTTGGTTTATCAATACTACCTGAGACTACTTCATGCTCTGTGATATAGTTCAGTCCTTCTTTTTTCTTCTGAGTCATCTCCTGCTCCCAGTAAACCCTTTATTATTAGTATCTCAGGACCCAAATTATGAGTATCTCAGGACTGATGTCAGAAGCCCAGTCCAGTCTAGCCTGTGTAAGGTGACTGGACTCTTAGGCCAATGGCAGGGAGGTCAGGAATCAGCACACAAACGGCTGAGCTGTGGCGGTGGATCTTTGGATAGCCTTTCCCTAGAAAGGGCAACAACAGCAAGACCATTAGAAAGCTTCTCTGGAAAAACAATAAATGAAGCCCTTGGTGCTATACTAATCTCCATAGCAGTGCTTGAAGTTTTATTGCCCTTGAAGGAGACTGCATCTTTGCAATTAATCAAGGACTTAGTGAACTGGCTTTCTTCGGCTTATCATTCTTTAGTGATTGCGGGGCTTGCGAATAGGATCTGGAAGAGAATCCCTCTGAACAGGGACAGGAGGAGCCATGTGTTGGCTTCTCATTATGTTTTCAAGGTGTCCCCATGTCAGCTTACTAGGGGCATTGTTATTCTGTCTTCTAACTTTTGGGGAGAGCTAAAATGGACTTCTGTTTAATATGAAGGGAATAAAGACATGGTCAGTTATAGAGTAGGAGGCAAAGGTATGAGGAAGTCAACTTTGTAGGCATGACAATTGATATATGCTGAGGGTTAGGGTGACGGCAGGGCCTATTTAAGTGGGCTAATAAATGGCACGCATGAGGTGGGGAGAAGAAAAGCATATGATGGCGTCCCTCCAGACCCCGTCACTCTCAGTGCTGTGCATCACAGTGAAGGAGCCTGGCGATGACTCCCCTGCTGGGACGGGTCCTGCCTGTCTGTGTGTGGCTGTCTGACTCTCCAGGAACACTGGAGTAAACTCTGACTTGTTTGCATGTCCTGCAGCTCACAATTCTTGGCCTCTTCTCAACATGCCACCCCACATACTTCTGTTTTCTGTCAAAATTCTATTTGTATCACTTTCTCCAAAATGTGTAGGTTGGCAGTAATCACTCCCTTCCCTGGGTGTCCACATACTTCTTATTCTGTGACTACCAAATGTCTACTACTTTTTAAAATTGTTCCTGCTCATGTTCTTTTACATATTGCACACGAGTATATGCCAGGCCCTGCGCTTTTTCATTATTATTTATTGCCTTCCCATATAACCCTATGAAGTGTCCCCCCGCCATAAGTAAATGGAAACTTAGAAGAGGTGACATTCTCTGTGATTTTGTGTCTAGTAAATTTGTAAACGGAGGCTGTTGTCCATATCCAGCATGCCTACTTGCCCTTCTGTTCACGTCCATATCCAGCATGCCTACTTGCCCTTCTGTTCACGTCCATATCCAGCATGTCTACTTGCCCTTCTGTTCACGGCACTTGTGGCACCAAGCCCTGTATTATAGTGATTCTTCCCTACTTCCCTTATAAGAATATAAGCTTTATTTCCCATTGAGGCAACAAGACACAGTTTCTCACTCATCCTTATGTTCCTTGGAACTCTTGTAATGCTACTGTGTCTTTAGTAGGAATGGCTGCATATGGTCAAATGTATGTCTGTGTGTTCTTATGTATGTATATGTATTTAGATGGATGGCGGATGCTGGCTGGGTGAGCGCACTGCTTGGTAATACTTCCCTTGCAATAAGGAGTTTGGAATATGGCATCTTCATATCAAGCATCTCAGCCTTTTGTTTTCTGAAGTTTTGGTTCTTTCTTGCAATTCTGCCAGTCTTTCTCTCTCTATCTCGCTCTCTTTCTCTCTAATGTAACCTTTCCTGAATCTGAAAAAAAGATATTTCCCTTTAATATATACATGCTAAAGACAAATATGGGGAATCATGTATATTTAGACTTCTTTTTAAAATAGAAGCTACATGTCTTCCTCTGCTGTATATTATGACACTGGATATTTGTTGGAAGTGTAGGATTTGCTTTTACTTTATTTTTAATTTAAATGTTATAGGTGCATTCTCTGTTACTCTAAACATTGTTATAATTCATGTTATATTTTGTTTAAATTTTTATACATTTTAAAAGTTTATATCTTCAAAAAAAATTTTTGTTTATCTAGAATGTTCCTGGAATCCCAAGATAGTAGGTAGCTCAGGTTTTGCTTACAGAGTGGATTGGTGATACTGGATCATGTTCCTTATGCCTCAGCTTATGCTTTCTTTGCTTTCAGTAAACGCTTGTCCCCCAATTTCCAGCTCCTAAAATCTTTTAATTCATTGCTTAAAAGTTGACTACCAAGAAGCTCAATCATGAAGATGAAAGTTAGAACTAATAGAAATCACACAGTGCAGCTGTTTCTGGTGTAAATGTGAAAGCTTCAGCCTCACATTTAGTTTTGTTCTTTACTCAGAGATGAATATTCTGCTCAGAGCAGAATTAGCACCAAACCTCAAGTCCTTTCTAACTTGAGAGTTATCCAGAACCTGCACTATATTCTAGTGACAAGTGACAACTATTCTTTACGACCTCATAATGTATCCCATACAATTCTTATCATAGTGTGCCTTTTAATAGATTTGCTTGTATATGCACCTGTCTCCTCCAGTAGACCCTGAACCTTTGGAGGCAGAGGCTGCCTGACTTATTTCTGTATTTACAGCAGCACCCGGCAGAATCTCTGACACATGGGAACTCAGTGGTGTTTGTAGAACTGAATAGGTGAACATAACAATGCACACCTGCTTATCCAGCTAATGTTCTCTAGGTTCTCAGCTACTGCTTAAACTCTGTGGTTCTGCAGCTTCAGCCTACATATTTGAATTACTGTTACTCTCCTACACCTGTATTTTGAGCTTTTTAGTGTGGGATTTGTTTGGCCACTGCTACCTTGAAGTTACCAATTACATTTCTCACCTTGGTATTATGTATATGATCTCTGGGGTTTGCTTTCTCATTTTTAAATTCTGACTGTGAAAGTAGAAAAGTACCCAGATGTTTTGTGTATCAACTTGTAATTTTGTGATACCCATATTTATAATTTTCTTTTATGAGATATTCTGCTAATAACTTCTTTCTAAAGGGCTTTGGCACACTTAAAAGTGGGGAGGTTTTTTTTTCCCATTTAGTAGCTCTTTAGGCCTCAAGGTCCTTTTATTTGACTTCCATTGTTCTCATACTTTTCATTTATTTTATAACAACTCGTGTTTCCACAGCTAACTTAGAATACCCCTACATTTCCAAATGCTTTTCTTGTGTCCAGTACTGTAAGCTTATGAGCCCATATCTATTTTTTTATTAAGTTTTGTCTTCCTAGAAATTTTACAGTGTTAACTGTCTTTCATTTTTGTGAAATGATTTTGATATGTATTTACAATTTTGTCCCATAAACTTCTATTCAACTGATGAGAACAATAAGATAGTGCGATTTTTCTGTTGGTCTTTAATGTCCTAGCCTTTAGCATTATTTGTCCTGTAATCTGGGAGCCCTCTCTGCTTCAAATTAAAAAACAAAAAACAAACTCAGCAAAAACAAACAAAAAGCCATAAAACAACAAAAACAAGAAAACCAAGCCTTAGACTTTGATGGCAGAACAGAGTGTAGTTCTTTTTCTGTTTTTGGTAGATAGCAAAGCAAGTAAATTTTCCAACTTTACTAATATACTATTTTCTTGAGATGGTTTTTGAAATTATTCTGCTATTACACTCTAGGAATTAGAATCTCAGTCTCTCTCCTTCTCTCTCTCCCTTCCAGTTGTTTGACTGAATGACATTTGGTAATGCTTTTTCTCCATCATTACAATGGATAATCATTCAGAATGATTTGTCAATTTTCAATTTTGTGAAGTTGAAGTTGTGGCCTAGAATCCACTTTCTCCAACCTCTGAAATTCCTTTTAAAAACATTTTTATGTTAGGTCTTTGAAAAAGTAAATCCACTGGGTACCAATTCAAGGTGATCCTTTTGATGTAATCCCTTTATATTGGTATAATCCCTTATAGTTTATTTAGCACTTCCATATTCATTTTTTTTTAATTTTCA